GAGTACCTAATAAGCCAGTTCAATGAGCACTTTAAAAGGCGTCGGGACACCTTGAAGATGCTTTCTTCCCTTCTGCCGCAGAATATTCCCGAATCTGCCACTCTCCCGGGAACTGTCGAGGAGTTTGCTGACGTGTACTTGAACATTATCTCAACTTTGGCATTGCAAGGGTAGTTGGCTGTATGGGCTGCGAAACGGAAGTGAGAGAAGCCAGAAGTGCTCAGCACGTCTGCGACGCAAGCGGTTTCCGATTGCCCAGAGGTATTCTTCCCAAACATGTACCGTGTTTTAAAGATTCTGGCAATTCTGCCCATGAGCACACCCGAAGAAGCTTTTTCCTCGCTGAGACACCTAAAGAGCTACAACAACAAATGAAATTGATTGGCATCGCTCTTCTGAACATCCACGGTGAAATACAAGTCTACCCGGATGACATTCGCTCTGTTCTTTACCGGGAACATAGACGGCTTCAGATGAATGTGTAGTACCAACCATATGCGCCCGCTGATAATCGAGGAAGACAGTTAACAGACGTTATTCTTGGATTGATATTTTCTGAACAGCCGTAAAAACAAAGTTGGTAATAATCAATTGATTGGGTTTAACATCCCAAAACCACAATATGATAACGAGAGGCACCGAAGTGGGGCGCTCCGGAGATTTTACCACTTTGGGTCTTTAACGTGCACATCAATCAAAGTGCACGGGCCTCGAGCATCTTCACCTACATTGAAAATACCACAGGGATTCGATCCCGCGAACTGCGGGTCAGCAATGGAGCTCTGTAGACCACCGTGGTGAGTATTAAAAAAATTGCCCGCAGCTTCCCTCGGGGGAACACTGAGGAGGATGCGGAGCATATAATTGGTTAACGGGGTGTTAAAGTGCGACTTACTTGGGTCGATGGCTAAATTGGTTAACGTGGTTGTGAAATGGGGTGTTAAATTGCGACTTACTTGGGTCGATGGCTAAATTGGTTAACGTGGTTGTAGGAGGGGGTGTTAAATGAGCGAACACGTACACACGTATGCGAAAGGGCGGCGCTGGTCGAAGGGCCGTCGATCATTGTGTTTGTGGATTCGTTGGAATTCATTTCACCGCGACCTTGGACGTCGACGCGCCGTACAAACCAACCGACGAGCGGCAACTGAGCGAGCGAGCGCCGACCTTGAGTATATATACAGCGCGACGGCGCATGCACTGTCAGCTGTCGAATGTTCGAGAAGGGGGAGAAGCGCAACGGCGCATGCGCGCGCGTCAGCTGCCGATGTTCTCGAAGCGCGACGGCGCATGCGCGCGCGTCAGCTGCCGATGTTCTCGAAGCGTGACGGCGCATGCGCGCTACATTATACAGCTAGCGAATGTTCGTGAAGAGGAGAAGCGCACGCGGTGTGTAGAGGAGAAAGGGTGCACAGATGGTGGAGGAGTGAAGCGCGCGCGGTGTGTAGAGGAGGAAGGGATGCACAGATGGTGGAAGAAGGAGGAGGAAGCTTGCGGACGGCGCCGCACTACAAGCCTCGAGTATTAGATGCTCCGCATCTAAAAAAGACAATTTCGGTAAAATCACTGTGCGCTACTTTTCGTCCAGCTGTATAAGGGCGCAAGTTCAACTGATTGAGATATATTGCTGAAAACCATTTTGATAGCACGTCAGAGTGATTTAGTTCTCTCCCGTTGCCTACTCCTTGCTTTTCGGTGGCACCTTCAACTTGTTCACGTGGTTTGCGGATACGAAAGGTGTGAACAGCGATGCAACAACCCAAATTTGCATGTGACAATTCTCGCAAAATTCGGGTAAGTTATTTGACATATAATATGACATGCAATGCACAGGATAATCTTCGTGTCAATTGAAAAAGATAATCAACAGTATTCCGGTATGCGATATGTCGGTTTGCTGCCTGAAACATTGCTTGAACAAAGTTTATTTCATTTCTTCTAAAACGTTATGTTTACTATGTATATTGTTTTTTATTTTACATGCTAACATGCCCACGCATGTTTCTTCATTCTGTGCCTTTCTTGTTGTACCTTGTTTCGCTAGTTGCAGAAATCGCTTGGTGTGCCCTTCCAGTCACGTCAATGTAAAAGAACGAACAGATGAAGGCTTTACGGAGGCTTTATAAAGACCTTATTTTTTTCAGCTTCATGATCCTTATTCTTGCGCTGTTTGCCACACAGCTTAACAATAAAACTACCCACACTGAATTTCTCATTACGCTACTTTAGGTTTATGACTACCATCTTTTTATTTATTATCTTAAGTTGCATGATGTTATGATGAGTATTTTAGTAGGCCTTTCTAAGGTTGTGATTGGCCTGCCCGTTTGCCTGTGTGACACCTTCGTCAATATAGACAACACGTCGTAGTGCCTTTAGCCATTAGGGCATAGTAAAGATATGTATCAATATATTGTACACTCGCATACACGTGAAGTGTGTGTGTGTGTGTGCGTGTGCGTGTGTGTGTGTGCGCGCGCGCGTGCGTGTGCATGCGTGCGTGTGCGCGCGCCTAGATGTTAGCAGGACGTCCGAAGGTTCAACAAAAATAGCAATGGTGGTCTCTGGCTTGAGTATATCTTGGCTCAGGTATACGTAAGGTCACACTGTAATATGCTTGATCATGGCCTTTCAGACCTTGGAACTCTGTCTGGTTTTTTCCATTAAAACGAACCTCTGCTCAGTGAGAATTATCGCATTGATCGACTCCGGCGAGATCTGTTGCGGTGGGTACAAGTACGACTTGACACGCTCGCGGCCGAAATTCCTGCACGAAATCTCACTGAGTGCCAAAGCCTTGACAAACACAGCGACACGGTTTTCCGTATGCAGACATTATTCACTGTAAATGCGTGCAGGAATGATACTGTGATAGTAGCACCGCCTAGTTTCTAAACCATGCCAGTACGAAGTGACGAAAAAAAGGTGGGTAAGTGGCGGGGGGGGTCACGAAAAATATTACGGGGGGGGGGGGGTTTGACCCCCCCTTTCTGGCTACGCCACTGAATAGCGATATTCCGTTCCTACAGTATGTTCTTCAAACACTTGGTGTGTGAACTCTTTTCGAACTTGCTGTGCACCCACTACGTGGCCTTAAGGGTGCAGTAGCAGGTGGGCCTTTTGTAGTGGGTCACTGCCTTTAAACTACGAAGTCATCATGAAAATCCCATGTTTTAACATCCGATTGCAATGTACGCTTGTACCACGCATTATTACGGCAATGTTGTGTTGTGAAATATGTATGCAGGACGCGTGTTAGTAAATCATGAAAGTTACTTTCACTGCATTTTCAAGCAGAGGAAGTCATTTTCTCTCCATTCACGAGCAGATGCGTGGCTGTGCCGACGCCGACGCCTGAATTTCCCCAAAACGATCTCTTTAATGATGTCGCGGTAAAATCACACAGACGACGACAGAGTAAAACGGGACACAGCGCTAAACTATTAACTCGGTGTTTATAGCAGGTGATCACATATTTGTGCAGATGACACGGCCCCCTTCCAAAAAAGGGGGAGGGCGAAGGAGCGCACAAGAAAATCGACCCAGCATATTACACAACTGCGGCTGACGCGACGAAAATAGCGTCTCCTTTAGTGATAGACCGATTGAACGGCAATTTACGGCGTCTCTATATTCAGTATCTCCCACTTCCAATATTCCAACACACTACGACACTCAACAAAAATGGCAGCACCTATCGGGGAAAAGTCCACTCCACTAAGCACGAGCGACGGTCACGCATGCAGCCTCCCTAGGCTACGAAACCGTGCCTCATCCGCTATGATAACAAGACCTCGCACCAAGTGACTTCTTCCTCTTACCTTGTGTGATGAGCCCCCAGCGCGGGAACATTGTCGGGTCGACTAAGTCATCGTTCAGGTCGAGCTCACTATGAACTCTTGAACTGAAGAGTTCTACACCAATGGCTTGCGGGAACTCATGCATTGTTGGAAAAAGTGCTGGACGCTGGGAGGAAATTGTGTACAGAAAGACTGACCCTACGCTGAAACTATGTTTTCTTTTTGTCTCTCTTCATGTCAATGTTACGAACTTAATGAACGTCCCTCGTATACAAGAAATATGGTGAATCCCTTATTTCAAACGACAACGTAATCCGACACTTCGTACAAACACCCTCCCCCCTCCCATTTCGCTTCGACCTTCTTCACTCTTCCTGTCCTGGCGGGAGACTAAATTTCGTGAGTGTGGCTCACCACCTGGTGAGATTGAGACCCTTTATTTAGACTAACAGACGCCATGGAAACGTTCACCATCGGCATCCCATGCAGTGTGTCGTAGTGTGAAGCGACAAGTTAATTTACTGCATGTTCTATAAGCTGGAACTAGCTTCTTATCAGCAGAATGCCTTGAAATATTGCGGTATCAATGTAAGCCATCGAATTACTAGATAAAATGCTTGTAAGTGAAGTTTGGTTCATCAGCTTGGTAATCAGAAATTGTATTGCAAATTAATGCACGTGCAGGTAATGCTGCACTAACAGACAAATTATGTATAAAAGGTGTGTGAGAAATTCGCCCATAAATAAATCAGCAAAGTCATATGCATGCTACCTAAAAGTGAGCCTTTGCTTACTGAATGGCTACAAATTTCTTATCCGACATATCTGCCTCGTACACTCGCTTGCGACTACCTGGCTGCAGAGTCACTTGGAGCAGTGCTCATACTAGATTGTTCCGTCTCACTTGAAGTTCTAGCATGGGTATAGACCCCGTACATATGGCAAACGAACAAATTTTCAACAGTTGCGGATACTGAAATTTCGTATACAAATCTACTAGCAAAGACATTTCAATTCGTTTTCGAAATTTCAAGTAGTCACACACTCATAATTTTCATCTGTTAAACACAAACTTTGGAGTTAAGTTTAATAAAAAATGTCTATTGTCGTCTTCACGGCACCTCTTTTAAGGGCATACCAATGTTTTGGCGCGAACAATTGAACTGGACGCGAAGACGTCAAAGGGGAACACACTCTCACCCGTCATGCAGAGCGTTGCCCCTGCGAGGCTGAAGGGCCACGAGGCCTGCTCGTGGCTGCATTGGTAGGTGCGCACCATGGCCACGTACAGCACGCCGCTGGCACGAAAGAAGCCCAGCACGAAGAGGTTCATCCAGAAGACAGCCGCCACGATGACCAGGCCGTGTAGTTGCCGCGCGCGTAGCACGGGCTTGCGCGACAGGCCCATGGCCTCTCCCGCATGCGCTGCGTGAGAGGAAGCACCAGTTCAGGCTTCGTACGCGCTGATCACACAACAGTGAGGTAAGCTCCACGGTGGATGCGCTGTGGGCACACGCGGCGCTGCTTCGGTTTGTGGAGAAGAACGCGATCAACGACACAGAAAGCAGCAACTGTCGGTCGCGCGCGCCCTCTTTCTCGCTTCTTGGCAGCCGTCTCTCTGCCTCGGACCGAAGCTCCCTTCAGCTTTCATTCTTTCTCTCTATTTCGCTTGTTTTATGTAGTTATTTTTTCCCTTTCTCATAAGACAAAAGCCGTCTCCCGGTTCGTCTGGCGAAAGTGAGAGGGACAGAAAGGTGACGCACCCTTTCGGAATTATTCTTTTTTATCAACGATCTGACGGTTTCGCAATGAAATGTCATCAGCGCTCGAACGCCGCTAGAGTCTTGCCTCTCTCTCCGAGAGGTTGCACAGTGGTACTGGCACGATCACGGCGATAAGAACGGTGTTGCTGTGCGTGCGTGTGTGCGGCTCTACACGGTCAGGGGCGGTGTCATGGGGAGCGCAGGAGGGGGGGGGGGTGCAACGGCTCTTTTAAGAGCTCCACCCACACCCCCTTCGCTTTGCCAACAGCAAACATATTGAATGTTCGAATGCACAGCGCGCAAGCACAGCTTCTTTGCAACCCTGAGGGAACTCTTTTTTCGTGATCGTGCCACCCCCCCCCCCCCCCCAAAAAAAAAAAGAAATCCTGACACCACCTTTGGACATGGTTTCACCGCGTCGCCATTTACACGTTAGACGAATACTGATCACCCACAACAGAGATAAACTTGGCTGAGATTTCACGCCTTCCAGGGAAAGGTCTGTAACAGCACACCACGAAAACGTTAGCCGCAGAATCCCATTGCAGCTCACGGAGACGGACGCCGCAGACAAGTTTGCTGCAGGCAAAGTGATAAGCCGCGCAACTGGAAGCCGAAGGTCTCACGTTTTATAAGATCACATTTACGAGAGGGGGCTGACATGTCACGTGTTTCGCACATCCCCGAACACACACTGCATTCGTTCCGCAGACGTTACTCAATAAATACAAGTTCAGCGCAGTGACATTTATCACCGCCTGTTTGTTAAGCAAAAAGAGCGGGAAAAAATTTGTCAGATAAGTTTTTTTAACACGTCAAGCAATTTGTGAGAGTATAGACAACATAGAAGCCGATGCAGCAGCCCAATCAACAAATCGCGAATAGGAAATATGGCTTCCCGCACAATATGAGAATGTGAACGACGTTCTGATTGAAACGCCATTCAAAGTACGTAAAAAGGCTTCGCTTGACTAACATTCTAAGAGCTTCCGTCTGCATTATATTCATTCGCTTATTAAAATGAAAATTCGATTAACTTTACACAAAAACGTGGGGACTCCTACTCATCGGTTACGACTGGTATAATGCCTGCACGAAACGCCTTTAGCACAAAAGTGGCCACATTGATGTGCTCGAATGGATGGCATTTCTAGCTTTTAATATACTTACCACTCCTTCTTTTATACTGCCCACATCTCAGCACATTGAGGCTCCAACTTGTGTAGACGTTATTGACATAAAGCCGTATAACTTATTTAGTTTAGAAAGATTATTAGGTACGTACCAAAGAAGAGCAACTGATTGAAAACTTCAAGGCAACGGCGCTTTTGTGCAGTGCTAGGAAGCTTCACGTTCTTTTGAAATTCTAATGGCGACGGGCATATGTGATTACTAATTAGTGAGCCGTTTCTTTACAATGCCACTTGCTGTGTTATGCTGTGCAGTGAGCAATTATGACTTGCAAGTGATGATTCATCTATGTGTTGAATGTAGCAACCTCAGACTGAGAGTCTCTTTGGTAAATGACATTACTACGCACACTTCTGACAGTTCATAATAATGTCGCAGCGCCAAGTTGTATGTGATAAAGAAGCATGTTTGTATGCACCACCCACGTTTTGTAATGTCGTGATCTTATACTTTGACTGTCTGCTGTATGGTCCCCCTGTTCAGAAACCAATGAGTTGCCGGTGCCGTACTTGAGCGTCAACGTATCCCAGTATCTCAGCGGTAAGAACACATGTTAAAATTAGGACGCTATCATTTTTTATCCCGGAAGTCGTACGAGTGAAGAATGGGGAAACAAGTGTTAGGAGAGATGCGCATCGTATGCCCGCCACGGTGGATCAGTGGCTGGGGTGCTCGGCTGCTGACCGGAAGGTCGCGGGTTCGATCTCGACTGCCATGCTCGCATTTCGGTGTAGGCGAAATGGTAGAGGCCTGTGTCCTGTGCGATGCCGGGCACGTTAAAAACACCATATGGTCGAAACATCCGGAGCCCTCCACTACGACATCTTTCGTATAGTCATATGATGGTTTCGGGACGTGAAACCCCAGATATTAAATGCGAAGCATTTATTTGCGAACAGCAAGCACTTGTGGTATCTATCTATCTATCTATCTATCTATCTATCTATCTATCTATCTATCTATCTATCTATCTATCTATCTGTCTGTCTGTCTGTCTGTCTGTCTGTCTGTCTGTCTGTCTGTCTGTCTGTCTGTCTGTCTGTCTGTCTGTCTGTCTGTCTGTCTGTCTATCTATCTATCTATCTATCATCTATCTATCTATCTATCTATCTATCTATCTATCTATCTATCTATCTATCTATCTATCTATCTATCTATCTATCTATCTATCTATCTATCTATCTATCTATCTATCTATCTATCTATCTATCTATCTATCTATCTATCTATCTATCTGTCTGTCTGTCTGTCTGTCTGTCTGTCTGTCTGTCTGTCTGTCTGTCTGTCTTGTCTGTCTGTCTGTCTGTCTGTCTGTCTGTCTGTCTGTCTGTCTGTCTGTCTGTCTGTCTGTCTATCTATCTGTCTATCTATCTATCTATCTATCTATCTATCTATCTATCTATCTATCTATCTATATCTATCTATCTATCTATCTATCTAGCTATCTATCTATCTATCTATCTATCTATCTATCTATCTATCTATCTATCTATTATCTATCTATCTATCTATCTATCTATCTATCTATCTATCTATCTATCTATCTATCTATCTATCTATCTATCTATCTGTCTGTCTGTCTGTCTGTCTGTCTGTCTGTCTGTCTGTCTGTCTGTCTGTCTGTCTGTCTGTCTGTCTGTCTGTCTGTCTGTCTGTCTGTCTGTCTGTCTGTCTGTCTGTCTGTCTGTCTGTCTGTCTGTCTGTCTGTCTGTCTGTCTGTCTGTCGGTATATATATATATATATATATATATATTGTAGAGAGAGAGAGAACACAACTTTATTTTATATATATTGTAGAGAAGCCGCCGAACACTGAAGTGGGTAAAACTCTCAAGTGTTCTCTAGTGGGTCTACCCGAAAAAGGACGCCGCTCGCGCTTGGAGTCCGTGCTTGGCCGTTACTGTCGCCATTGTCTATACTCGCTGTGTGCCTGCTAATAAACGCCATAACAAATTGGTGGAGAGTGCTACGATCCCCTTTGATGCCCTGGGAACTGCGCTCACGTACCCTGGAGTCTACCATGTCCCACGACGCCTCTCAGCAAACGCCTACTCCCATGCCACCCCCTTGTCCCGGTGTCCCCAGGATCCGAGATCCACCCATCTTCACGGGCGCCGATGGCACTGACGTGGAGGACTGGCTCGCTATTTACGAGCGCGTGAGCGTGCCCAACAAATGGGACGAGGACGGCAAGTTGGCAAACTTGGTGTTCTACCTTGCGGGCGTTGCGAGCTTGTGGTACAACAACCACGCGTCCGATATCGCAACCTGGTCCAATTTCAAGACCGCTATCACCAACGTTTTTGGCCGCCCTGCCGTTCGTAAGCTGCAAGCCGAGCAGCGCTTACGCGAACGCGCTCAGCAGGCCGGTGAGTCATTCACCAGTTACATAGAAGATGTCCTGGACCTGTGCAAGAAATCTAACGACAGCATGTCCGAATCAGACAAGATCCGGAACGTCATGAAGGGCATTGACGATGATGCCTTCACGATGCTGCTTGCCAAAAACCCAGGCACAGTAGCTGAGGTCATCACGCTGTGCCAGAGCTATGAGGAGCTCCGCCGGCAGCGTTCGATGACCCGTCGCTCCACACCACGAGATGCAGGGCTTGCAGGCTTGGAGGCGAGCTGTGATCAGGTGGCACTGCTGGCAGACCTCAAGTCCTTCATACGTGAGGAAATCGCGCGGAAGTTCTCTATCCTGCACTTCGCCCACCCACCGGCTGCTCAACAATCGGCCACTGCTATTCTTCCACCCATACGCCGAGCAATTGAGCAGGAAATAGCGGAGGTCATGCCTGCGTACCAACCACAGCAGCTTCCGGCCCCTGCGCCCCCAAGTTACGCCCAAGTGGTCGCCAGGCCGCCTCCAGTCGTTCAACCGCCCGCCCCACTGACTTACGCCGAAGCTGCCGCACGACCTCCATCCTTTGCAGCGGCTACGCCGGCTACGTATGTTGACGTGACCTCTCAGACTCAGCTCCAGCACCCCCTGCAGCCTTTCCAGCCACCGTTCCGTCCATCGGCTCTTGCGTCATGGACAAGACCTACCCCAGCGAACCGATGGCGCACACCCGACAACCGGCCCATCTGCTTTGCCTGTGGTTACGCTGGTCACGTAGCCCGTTATTGCCATCGTGTACAGCCGGCTCGAATTTCTTCGCCTAGTGCTGGCCACCTCAGCCGTCCCTATCACGACGAACCACCGTCTATGCCACCGCCGTCTCGCCCAGGTCCATCTCCTCGAAGGTCACCGTCTCCACGACGTCGTTCCCTGTCCCCCATGAGGCCAAGTTCAGCTACTCATGAGCGGGAAAACTAGTCGTCGCAGTCCCCGAGGCAAGGACTGCGAGGCTATTGCGATGTGAAAGCCCTCAGAGCCGCCCATCTAATGTCATCGACGTGCTTGTGGACGGTGTTCATGCGTCTGCTCTTATTGACACTGGAGCTGCAGTATCCGTTATGGACGA